TGAATGGGGCATAAATTCTTAAAACAACTAGTCGGGTCCTTACAAAGGACCATGCCTGGGGGAAGTCTGAGTGCCCCATGAGCCGCTATTGCTCCGGCCTTTGGCTTTTAAGGAAATTTCTTGTCCACCCTCGTTATTGTTTTGCTTTATTTGTGCATTGGGGACACTGCACTCTTTTAAGTGTGGGGTGGGATAATTCTCTAGATAATTAGTAGTAGGATGTTAGAAAAATGTTAACTTCTTATTTTTGTTTTCGTAGTTGTGTAGTGTTTTAGTATTTTAGTAGCTATGAAAAAAATTGAAAAAAAAAAGTAGAAAATTTTGACTTTTCCCGACGATGGATTTCCTAGATAGTTTTCTTGAGAGATTTAAGTCTAAGGAAAAAGGACAAAAAGATTTTCTTTGTATGTAGTGTAGTAATTCCCCCTTGATTTTTCTTTGTGCCACAGTTCTTTTCCAAGAGTTTTATTTGAACCGGGTATAGTTAGTTTTATTTTTTTTAGGAGTAGGAGCCATTGTGAGATGAATTGAATTGAAGAAATATCTCTTGACTTTGTTATGCCTTGAGAATAGTGAGTACTTTGGCTGTGACGCTTAGGCTCAATTTTTGACTCTTGTATAAGTACCTTAAATTGTATGATCTTAAATTTTCTTAACTGCTTTGACTAGAGTGTCTTGATGAGTTCGATCCTAAGTGAGTTATATGCCATGTGTGTGTGAGGTTTGTGTGTTATTCAGTGCATTGCATTTGATGTCTAGAACATGCCCCGTGTGTTTGCAAAGCGAAATAGTAGTTTTGTTCAGTCTTGGAAGTGATATAGGCGTTTCTTTATTGAGCCAGATATATATATTTTACCCGCCTAATTGTTAAATATCGTAGTTAACCCCTTTGAGCCTGTAATCCTATTTCTTTGGCAATCACATTACAAGCCTTACCCATTTGTTTGAATTAACCATCTATTTGAACCTTTTAACCTCTCATGAGCACTTGAATTGTAATGAACTTTGTAAAAGTTTAAGTGTGAGGTGGTTGCTTTGGCTTTTGAGCAGAACTAATGAAATAAGGAGAAAGGTCNCCCTGGATTTTGAGGGACCAACAACTACTACTGAGGTACATTTAGAATCTGAAGGGAATACTATTCTGCAATTGGAGGGACCAGCCTCTGTGGAACCTGAGGTGCACACACAAGAGGGGGATGAGTTAGTACAACTCAATGAGGGTACGGGTAACGAGGAGGATGGTTTGATGGGGGAAACAATTACTGAAACAGAATCCAGCTTTTTTTCTGATCTTGTGGACGCCATGTTAGATCATGCGCCTATGACGGATAGATTGGCTGCAATGAGGATGGATCAGACAGTAATGTTAAACCAACAATCTTGGGAGTCTAAGATGCATTTACAAGAGATGCTGCTATAAAATATTGGAACGATCTACCTGAAAAGTTTCAGCTAACTTAATGGACAGTATAGCTAGGTTCAATTCTTGATTCTTGACTTTGAAAGTTTGTTTATTGTTTCTCATGGATATATCTCTAACAATTCATTTGAGATTTGAACAATAACTGTACATACTGTACTTTTGAAGTAATATCAGTAGTTTCAAGTTGTTTTCTAATTAGTCATTTGGTTTGATGCTATGTAGATGCTATTAGTCTGAATTTAGTGTTCAATTTTTTACTTAGACTAAGAATCTTCTTCTGATACTGTTAAACTAATAAGCTTGATCATGTGTTACAAACTGTCTAAACTAATTCTACTACTGAAAGAGATGAGCAGGTGCTTAGCTCTGCCATGTTTTAGGTCTTCCCCTTTCTTCTTTTACACATATTCATATGAGAATTTGGCTTCTTTTGCCACTTACACACCTGAATTACAGGGGTGGAGCTAGTGTACATGTTACAAAAATACTGTATTTATGCTAGAAATATATTAAATATGTACAAATTATTAATATCTAGACACTAATACCGCCCGGGCGAATTTTATGATCTTCGTATTATCCTTTTACTTAACTTTTCCACTAAAATCTTAGTGGCAAGTGATAATAACGCCAAACATTAAGTGGGCAATTTTGATACTCACGTCCTGGGGAACATCAAAAGTGATGCATGTTTGAGCCATTTGAAATTCACTTGGTCTAGAAAAAATCACATGAAACTGATAATGAAAAACAAGATCATGTTCGGTTCCTTTTAATTAGTTGCGCGCACGCACACAAATAAAATCGTATAAAGACAATTCGTATTTGATATAACTATCGTGCAAGTATTTTACCATTAAGAATCAAACAGTTTCTTGTAACAGATTGTATATTGATCTAATATAATTATAGGATATCCCCTTTCGCGAATGACAATTTATCCAAGCGATTTCTGATGTTTGGTTATAATTTCATATTTTTAGTGCATTACTTACCTTACATTTTGGGGCTTTAATGCTAAACTATACTATATTTGTGCTTAATTGAGTTTATTTTATGTGTAGGTACGTTGAAGACGAAATTTGGAGCAAAGTAGAGATTTTATGTGTATTTTATACACAACAAGAATGAAGTTATGATTATTTAATTAGTGGATATATAAGGATTAAAGTTTAACATTACAAAGGAAGACAAAAGAGACAAATCAAAAGAAGACAAAAAGAATAATTGAAAAAAGAAACAAAAACGTGAATTGGAAATGTTAGGCAACAAAGTTTAATCAAACCAGCAGCAGACGTAGCGAGCTACTTTACTCGCGTTAGAGCAGGCGAGGCGAGGATTAAAGCGCGCGATAGAGCTTGCGTCGCACGGGCTACAGCGAGATGAAGCTCAAGTTTTGCCTCGCGCCGCAAGGCCTGTAGCGAGGGTGTTCCGGGTTTTAAAGCCTATTTGTCTCCTTTTTGGTTTTGGACTTGGTTATTTCGTCCAGGCTTTTTCCCTACACATCTAAATAGTCATTAAACACCATTTTTAGAGGAGTTTTTGCGACCGGAGGCAAGAACATCACGTGGAACAACTTTTGGAGGAGAAAATCATCAAGTTTTTCAATCCTTTATCTTTTCTTTGTAATTTGTTTATGCAAAATACTTGAAAAATTGTTACTACGAACATGAGTGACTAAGCACTCTAGTTCTAGGGTTGTGGTTGACATGATTATTTACGTTTATTAATTACATCTTCGTTAATTCAGATTATCATCTTGTGGTTGTTTCTTTAATTCTAGTTTTAACTTGTGAATTATTGTAGCTACCAATTCACCCTACTATCTATGCTATGCTTGGAGAAAGCCGTGTTTAGATTAGAGTAGAATGAGAGAGAGCATGTTTCTGAACCCGTGGCTCAGGGGATAATTTCGCGGTTAGGATAAGAATATACTTAACAATCTTTCTTATTTGAATATCGTATTATATTCGTTCATGATAGACTCAATACCATAGGAATATAGGATTGATATATTATGGGCAGGCGAGTAGTATTGTGGGAACATGCTATTCATATAAACGATCCGATTAATTAGCAACCATAGATAATCTGGATTAACGAGTGTGATTATTAAACTTAATAGGATCGATAAACCAACCACAACCTTGGAATTTTCACCTCCTCTGAATTAAAATCTCATCATACACATTTGCATTCTTGATAAATTAGTTGTTACTTGTTTAATTTCCGCAATAGTAGATTAATAGAAATACATCACTCTTAAATATCTTGGACAATTAATTGATTTTAGTTTGCATAGTTGACAATTGATCTAAGTCTGTGTGGGTTCGACATCCAACTTTCGAGTCACTTTATTACTTGACGGCCACGTATACTTGCGTTTACTTGGGGAACCAACAAGTTTTTGGTGTCGTTGTCGGGGACTTAGTTATTGATTGTTTATCTGTGTTAAGCTTTTATTCGTTATTTGTTCAAGTTTTAATTTTTAGTTTGGTTTATTTGTGATAACGCAGGTTGTTCTCTTGAATGCGGTGGAGTAGAAGCACAAACAATATCCTTCCTCTTGATCCTGAGATCGAACGAACACTTCATAGAGTGAAGAGGGAAGTTGAAGCTAGAACAAGAATTGAAAGAGAGTTGGACATCGTAGTTCAATAACAACCAATAGAGATGGCAGGTAATGAAGGGCGTACGGTGATAGAAGCTGCAAGGCCCAATCTTGCTAGTATGACTCAGGCAATTGTGAAGCTTGAGATTACGGGTCATTTTGAACTCAAACAGTACATGGTACAACTGATTCAGTCCACAGGGCAATATGTGGGTCTATCTCATGAAGACCCGTAGAGGCACATTCAGAACTTCCTGAAAATTACAGACACTTACAATTATCTAAATGTTTCCAAGGACTATGTCAGGCTGGCACTGTTTCCCTTTTCACTGCTAGGGGAAGCTAAGGAATGGTTGCAAAAGGAGCCCGCGAACTCAATCCACAATTGGGATGATCTAGCAAGGAAATTCTTAATCAAGTTTTTTCCCACTAAGAAGACAAAGTCGCTGAGGAGCCAGATTCTAGGGTTTCAACAATGAGATGGCGAGACTCTTTGTCATGCTTGGGAAAGATACAAGAAGCTACTCAAAGACTGCCCACATCATTGTCACACTGATGAGGTGTTGGGTCACACTTCCATTGATGGGTTGGATGAGGCATCAAAGATGAATCTTGACTCAGCATGTAGGGGTAGTTGCATGGAAAGACCTTATAGTGAGATCCAGATCCTGCTAAACAATTTCACTGCTAATGATAATAATTGGCAAGGAGATGGGGAACCACAAAGAGCACATAAACAAAAGGCAGCAGGTGTGATCGAGCTTGATGATTTCTCTTCCATGAGGGCAGATATAGCGAGATTAGAAAATCAGATGAATAAGATGACAATGAACCAAGCACAACAGATGCAGCATGTGCAACAGATGTCTACTTGCTGCGAGTTATGTGGTGAAGGTCACACTAGTGACATATGCCCCGTGAATCCTGAATCCATCTACTACGTGGGGGCAACAAGCTAGAGGGCTGATGAATCAAAATGCTCAATATTGTAACACATATAATCCGAACAGGAGGAATCATCCTAACTTCTCTTGGGGTGGAAATCAGAACATCAGGCCTCGAGCGAATTATAATCATCCACCTCAACCTCCACAGCAATCAGAAGAGAGTTTGACTGACATGATGAAAAAGCTCTTGCTAGACAATCAGAAAGTTATGGCTGAGAATCAACAATTGCTCACAGCGTTCAGAAATCTAGAGAGGCAGTTTGGAAAAATGGCTAACAATCAGAATATTAGACTTATTGGAGCTCTCCCAAGTGATACAGATAAAAATCCTCAAGTCAGTACAGTGACATTGAGAAGTGGGAGAGAGTTAGTAGAAGTGCCTAAGAAGAAAAAGGAGCAGTCTGGGCTCGAAGAAGAAAGAGTTCCAAAACCTGTAGAGGTAGATGAGAGAAACAAAACAGAGTCTGAGCAAATATTAGAGAGGGTGCCACCTCCTTTTCCTCAAAGACTGAGAAAGAAAAATGATGACCACATGTTTCAGAAATTTTTAGATATGTTGAAGCAGATACATTTGAAAATCCATTTGGTGGACATGCTCAGTGAGGCCCCAAAATATGCAAAATATATTAAGGATATAGTGGCAAATAAGAGGAGGTTAACTAAATTTGAGACCGGTGCACTTACCGAGGAGTGCACTTTCAGGATTCAACATAAGCTTCCACAAAAGCTTAAGGATCCGGGTAGTTTTACTATCCCCGTAAGGATTGGTGAAACTGATGTGGGTAGAGCCTTGTGTGATTTGGGTGCAAGTTCAATCTGATGTCATTTTCAGCATTCAAACAATTGGGATTAGGAGCTCCGACACCCACCACGGTGCTTCTATAGTTAGCTGACAAATCTTATATTTATCCTGAATGGGTAATTAAGGACGTCTTGTTGCATATTGGGAAGTTTATTTTCCCTGCAGATTTTATCATCCTAGACTACGAGGCTGATGGGTTAGTTCCTATCATCTTGGGACGACCTCTTTTGGCCACTGGAGATGCCATTATCAAAGTTCGAGAAGGTAAGATGATCCTGAGGGTGGACAATGAAGAAGCGGTCTTCAATGTATATCGAGCCATTAAGTTGCTTCGTCATTACAAGGACCTGGCCATGATTTCTGTGGTGAAGATAAATGAACCGGCCGTAGAGCCAAGTGCATTTAAAGAAGATGCACTAGAAAAGGCATTGATGTTGTTCAATCACTTGGAACTGGAGGAAGAGGTTGAGGAGATATTGCAAATTTTGGATGCATCTTGTGAATACATAAGAGAAAGATCCCAATTTGAGCCTCTGGATAGGCCAATCGGCCTGCCCCCTAGACCCTCAGTTGAGGAGGCTCCAAAACAGGAACTTAAACCCTTACCATCTCAGCTTCATTATGTATATTTAGGTAGTTCTAACACTTTACCTATGATTGTTTCTTCTCATTTGTCTAAATTGCAGGAAGAAAAGCTCTTAAGGGTGCTGAGGGAGCACAAACATGCCATTGGTTGGACAATGTCTGACATAAAGGGTATTAGCCCTGCATTCTGCTTGCACAAAATACTCATGGAGGAGGGACACAAGCCTAGCGTAGAACATCAACGCCGCCTAAATCCAATCATGAAAAAGGTCGTAAGAAAAGAAGTGATTAAGTGGCTCGACATAGGTATAGTATTTCCCATCTCCGATAGTAAGTGGGTAAGCCCTGTTCAATGTGTACCTAAAAAGGGGGGTATGACTGTTGTAGTGAATGAACAAAATGAATTAATCCCAACTAGGACGGTGACTGGTTGGCGAATATGCATAGATTATAGGACGTTGAGTAATGCTACACGAAAAGATCACTTCCCCCTCCCCTTCATTGATCAAATGCTTGACAGGTTAGCCAGACAGGAATACTATTATTTCCTTGACGGCTATTCGGGGTATAATCAGATTGCTATTGCCCTGGAAGATCAAGAAAAGACCACTTTTACGTGCCCTTATGGAACTTATGCATTTAAGAGAATGCCATTCGGGTTGTGTAATGCACCTGCGACTTTTTAAAGGTATATGATGGCTATTTTCACCAATATGGTGGAACAGTTTGTGGAGGTTTTTATGGATGAATTTTCTGTGTTTGGTCCTTCTTTTGATGAATTCTTGACCAATCTTGCTAAAGTGTTTGCCAGGTGTGAGGAGACTAATCTGGTACTGAATTGGGAAAAGTGTCATTTTATGGTACGTGAAGGTATAGAGCTGGGACACAAGGTGTCCAAAGATGGAATGGAAATTGACAAAGCTAAGGTGAAATTAATTGAAAAGTTGCCACCATCGATTTCAGTGAAAGGAGTTAGGAGTTTTCTGGGACATGCAGGTTTTTATCGCCGATTTTAAAGGATTTCTCAAAAATTTATTCTCCTTTGTGTAGGTTGTTGGAGAAGGATGTGTTGTTCAAGTTTGATGATGCTTGTCTAAAAGCATTCGAGGAGCTGAAAAAGAAATTAGTGAGTGCACCAATCATAGAGGCTCCTGACTGGAAAGAGCCATATGAGCTTATGTGTGACGCTAGTGATGGTGCAATTGAGGCCGTGTTGGGCCAGAGGAGGAGCAAAATTTTTCACTCCTTTTTCTATGCAAGCAAGACTCTTTCTCCTGCTCAAATAAATTATACTGTGACAGAAAAGGAGTTGCTTGCTGTAGTGTGGGCATTCGATAAATTTTGGGCCTATTAGGTTGGCACCAAAGTCATCGTCTACACAGACCATGCAGCGATCAGGTATTTGTTCGAAAAGAAAGATGCTAAACTAAGGCTAATCCGTTGTGTTTTACTCTTGCAGGAATTTGATTTGGAGATTCGAGACCGTAAAGGAATAGAGAACCAAGTGGTTGATCATTATCCAGGTTAAAAACTCGGAATCATGAACCCGAGGGAGATGTCATCAAGGAAACATTCCCGGATGAGCAATTGTTGGCCATTACTGCTGGGGAGGTGCCATGGTATGCAGATTTTGTGAACTATCTGGCAAGTGGAGAGATGCCGCTGATCTTGAACCTTATGCTAAAAAGAAGTTCTTGCGAGATGTGAGGTCATATGTGTGGGATGAGCCATTTCTGTTCAAATCTTGTACCGATCAGTTAATGAGAAGATGTGTGCCCGAATCTAAAATAAATGCTATCTTACATGACTGTGATGCGTCGCCTTATGATGGTCATTATGCGGGTGACAAAACAGCACCTAAGGTGTTGCAATCGGGTTTTTATTGGCCTAGGGTGTTTAAAGATGCCCATGAGTTTGTGAGGAGGTGTGATAGTGCCAGAGAACAGGAACAATCACGAAAAGGCATGAGATGCCATTGCACGGTATTATGGAGGTTGAAATTTTTGATGTGTGGGGAATTGATTTTATGGGTCCGTTTCCCTTGTCCAGTGGGTGCAAGTACATTTTAGCAGCCGTTGACTATGTGTCGAAGTGGGTAGAGGCCATTGCTCTTCCTACCAATGATGCCAAGGTTGTGGTCAACTTTGTGAAAAAGCATATCTTTACAAGGTTCGGCACTCTGAGAGATAATTAGTGATGGGGACACCCATTTCTGTAACAAGCTCTTGGACAATGTCTTAGCGCAATATGGGGTCAAACATAAGGTTGCAACCGCTTACCATCCTCTGACTAGTGGGAAAGTTGAAGTTTCAAATAGAGAGATAAAGCAGATCCTGGAGAAGACAATTAGTGCAAGTAGGAAAGATTGGGCTGCAAAGCTTGATGATGCTCTATGGGCATACCGGACTGCCTACAAAACTCCAATCAGATTCTCCCCTTACAAGCTAGTTTATGGGAAGGCATGTCATTTACCAGTGGAACTTGAGCACAAGGCCTATTGGGCGATAAAGAAGCTGAAGTTTGATGCAGAATTAGTGGGTAGAAAGCGGGTGATGCAATTGAACAAGCTTGATACGTTTCACTTGCATGCGTATGAGAATGCCAAATTATATAAAGAAAAGACCAAGCGCTGGCATGATAAGCATATCCACCATCGCGAGTTCGAACCGGGCCAATTGGTTCTCTTGTTCAATTTGAGATTAAGACTCTTTCCAGGGAAGCTCAAATCGAGATGGTCGGGCCCGTTTGAGGCAGTGAGAGTCACTCCACATGGTGCAATTGAGCTGCGCATCTTAGGTGGCGAGAGAACGTTCTTAGTGAACAGACAAAGAGTAAAGCACTATTCTGGAGGTGACTTTGATCGTCAGAAGTCGAAGGTGTTACTTGCCAATGATTAGACGGGATTCTGTGTCGTGCCACGACGTTAAATCAGGCTCTTGTTGGGAGGCAACCTATCTTTACTGCTTTCTTTTATTTTTATTTTTTATCTTATTATTGCTGTAGTGTTTGTTTTTATTTTGCAGGATTATAAGCATAGGAGGCAAAGCTATTGGAAGTGTGCAAAAGCAAGTTAGATGGTGAGAACTAAGTGTGGGGTGCCCACACAAAGGACCATGCCTGGGGAAAGTCTGAGTACCCCGTGAGCCGCCATTGCTTTGGCCTTTAGACTTTCAGGGAGTTTCTTGTCCACCCTCGTTATTGTTTTGCTTTATTTGTGCATTGGGGACACTGCACTCTTTTAAGTGTGGGGTGGGAGAATTCTCTAGATAATTAGTAGTAGGATGTTAGAAAAATGTTAACTTCTTATTTTTGTTTTCGTAGTTGTGTAGTGTTTTAGTATTTTAGTAGCTATGAAAAAAATTGAAAAAACAAAAGTAGAAAAATTGGACTTTTCCCCACGATGGATCTCCTAGACGGTTTTCTTGAGGGATTTAAGTCTAAGGAAAAAGGACAAAAATATTTTCTTTGTATGTAGTGTAGTAATTCCCCCTTGGTTTTTCTTTGTGCCGCGGTTCTTTTCTAGGGATTTTATTTGAACCGGATGTAGTTAGTTTTATTTTTTTAGGAGTAGGAGCAATTGTGAGATGAATTGAATTGAAGCAATATCTCTTGACTTTGTTATGCCTTGAGAATAGTGAGTACTTTGGTTGTGACGCTTAGGCTCAGTTTTTGACTCTTGTATAAGTACCTTAAATTGTATGATCTTAAATTTGCTTAACTGCTTTGACTAGAGTATCTTGATGAGTCCGATCCTGAGTGAGTTATGTGCCATGTGTGTGTGAGGTTTGTGTGTTATTTTGTGCATTGCATTTGATTTCTAGAACTTGCCCCGTGTGCTTGCAAAGCGAAATAGTAGTTTTGTTCAGTCTTGGAAGTGATATAGGCGTTTCTTTGTTGAGCCAGATATATATAGTTTACCCGCCTAATTGTTATGTATCGTAGTTAACCCCTTTGAGCATGTAATCTTGTTTCTTTGGCAACCACATTACAAGCCTTACCCATTTGTTTGAATTAACGATCTATTTGAACCTTTTAACCTCTCATGAGCACTTGAATTGTAATGAACTTTGTAAAAATTAAAGTGTGGGGTGGTTGGTTTGGCTTTTGAGTGGAACTAATGAAATAAGGAGAAAGGTGCACTGTTTTGAAAAAGTAAGAGCCACGTGAATTGAAAAAGAAAGAAAAAAATATATATGTAGTTGTATTGCTGTGAAAAATATTCTTTGATAGTGGTGACTCTTGATGTAATTGTGCTTAAAAGAAGTATGCAGTAATATACATTGATGTTAAGGTGGAGTTTGGTTTGACATAAGTATGGGGTTTGAATGTTAAAGTATATGTATTAAAGTGCTTAGGAAGGTGTAGTCACTCTTATATCCAAATGTATCCTACCCGACCCGCAGCCTACATTACAACCAATTAAAGTCATACTTGATCCTAGACTGAATGAGCTCGATTAGTAGAGTAGTACACTAAGGGCAAGCCCATGGTGCATCTTTTGTGGCATATGAATGTTATTTATGAGAGTGAGTGAATTCTTCCTATATTGAGTTCCTAATTGTTCTTAAATTTTAATGTGTGTGGAACTACTCTCTTTTGTTGTGTGAGGGCACTTGATTCATGAAGAAAAGGTAATAATGTCATTGACCTGTATGTTAGAGTAAGTGAGTGAGTGGTGAATAATGCATGGTACTTGTGAGTTAAATCTTGAGTTGGAGATGTTACACCCTTGTGCTTAGTCTATTTTAAAGATTCTTCACTAATAGAAATTCGCTAAAAATCGACCAAAAGTTTCCGACCAACGTTGGTCGGTCAAAAAAAGCGACCAAAAAACATCCAACTTGGACGGAAACTGGAAAAAAAATATTTTACATTTTTTAAAATAAATACCGACCAATGTTGGTCGGTAAATTGGTCAACAAGTTGACCCGGCTTGTCAGACTTGCTTAGTCAAAGAAACTTTTGGATTACCGACCAACTTTGGTCGGTAATGTGGACCCAATTTTTAAAATTTTAATAATTATTTTACTATTTAAAATATTTTATAAAATTTAAGAATTTATATTTAAAATTACCGACCAACGTTGGTCGGTTTATGCAGGGGAAGCATTTACCGACCAACTTTGGTCGGTATATTTTATTTTCTGAAAAATAACCGACCAAAGTTGGTCGGTTATTAGGTCAACATTGGTCAAACTTTTGAATCACTTTTATATTTACTATCTAAATAATATAAATGTAATCCGTTAATAGTTTTGTTTTACAAATAATGAATACACTAACATATACTATAACATGCTATATATGTAGTTAAAGTAGTACAATGAAGCGTGTGTGTGTGTATATATATACACACACACTAACATATACTATAACAAGCTATATATATAGTTAAAGTATTAAAATGATGTGTGTGTGTGTGTGTGTGTGTGTGTGTGTATAGGTATAGCCGTATATATATAAGAACACGAAGCGCTAGGACCACAGGGTCGGGTTCTTTTAGGGATAGACTTGTGAAGATCCTAATTAGTATATATAATTTATCATCAAATATATCTATTTATAAATTTATTCATCGACTTATAACTTACTTAGATGCATCGATGAATATTAAAAACAAAACGTTTGACCTATATCGACTAATAGTAAAAACAAAACGTCTCGATCTATATCGATTAATCTATGTCATGCATTATTAGTAATGAATGAATGAAAAATAGAAGAATTAATACTAAACATGATATATATATATATATATATATATATAGATCACAAATTAAAGAAACGAAAGAAGTTATTAGTATTAAGTAAACGAGTTAAATTAATAGGTCAAACTTTTAATTTGAATCACATTAATATTTACTATCCAAATAATATAAATGTAATCCGTTAACACTTTTGTAATACAAATAATGAATACACTAACATATA